TCAAACTGGAAGCTTTTCCCTACTCACACAGCTGCAGGGGCTGACAAGCTCAAGGTTGGCAGCCAGTATACTGGCTGTTGACTCCATCGGATGATGAATCCAAGATCACCAGACCAAATGGTGGATTGTTTGCTCAAAGACAGTTGTAGGCAGCACAACAGGATCCAGATCCACAGAAGAGTCTCTCATTTTTCCAAGATGTCCATATATATATTGGAAGAAGGCCATACCCCTAGGGAAATTCCTTTTCAATGGATTGGCTGTTCAAAACATATACATCCAATCTCATCATGGGAATAACCACATCACAACTGCTTAAACCACTCAGAATTGTGGTTCAGCCAAGTTGACACACAACCTCAACTATCATACCCACTAACCCGAAATAGACATATAACATAGATGAGAAATTAACCCTTGTTGTTTTAAGCTTGTGAGACTTGGAGGTTGTTTGTTACTGCCATGTAACTCAGCCCATCCTGACTAATTGAAGATCTGAAGCTAAATTAATTATTTCCCCCCTACATATCATTAGTAATAATAAAAACAAAAAGCATCTCACCTGTTCCTCCTCCTATATTCCCTCTCCTTTATCTTTGTTAGAGCTATTACCATCTACATACTTAATCAGACTAGAAGCCCAGGAACAGAGCTAGACTCCACCTGCATGTTCACCAACATTTTATGATTCAATTAGTACTGTAAATTCTCTTTCCTAGGTATCTCCAGGAGCTCTGGTGGTGCAGTGGTTAAAGCATTCAACTGCTAGCCAAAAGTTTGGCAGTTGGAACACACCAGCCACTCCATGAGACAAAAATGAGGCAGTCTGCTCCTGTAAGGATTTACAGCCTTGGAAACCCCATGTCACAATTCCACTCTGTCCTATAGGGTCAGCGTGAGTCAGAATCGACTTGATGGCAGTGTTTTTGGTTTTATTTTAAGTACCCCTCAAATCTATCCTTTCTTCTCCATCCTCAGTACATACCATGTATTGTCTCTTTCCTGGACTACTGTAATAATCTTTTAAATGATCTTGTCTCCTTAAATCTACCCTCCCTATGGCTACAAAAGTGACTTTTATAAAATGCACACTTTGACCATTCCACTCTCCTGCTTAAAATTTTTCACCAGTGCTTACAGAAAAATGTCAAAATCTCTTTGCATAGCAAACTAAGTTATTAAATAATCTTCTTATTTCCCCAGGCACATCCCGCTGTAGCCATATCCAGCCCTGAGTGGTCCTATTCTTTCTCCTCCCACTTCTATACCCCACACAGGCAATACTTTTTCTTGAAGCCTTTCCTGAGTTTCCCAAACAGACTTGTTAATTCCCTTCCTTTTACTACTTTTATGTCTTAAATGTGCTCTTGCTATGGCAAATGTCACTTTTTTAAAGTATCTGTTTACACTAAAGAACAATGTAGAATCCACCTCATAATGTGGATGAACTTGGAGGACATTATGCTGAGTGAAATAAAGCAATCACAGAAAAGCAAATATTGTACTAGTCTGCTATTGTAAAAAGTCAAGGAAAGGTTAATATATGGAAGGAAACTTTCTTCCTTGGTTACCAGGGATGGGAGGGGAAGGGAAGGAAAATTGCTAGATAGGTAAGAGAGAAGTATTGATTTGGGTGAAAGGGAAGGCAAAATATCAAAAGCAAGTGACCAACACAATAACACTAAGGAAAAGGAAGACAGAGAGGTACACAAAAGGTACAGACAATAAAGATAAATACTTTTACATACACGGTACTGCATTATCAGTACTGTAACTGATAATACAACAAATATCAATCTATATGTGGATACATATGTAGACAGGCTGCATGATCAGGTATATCCAGGCCAAAGAGAATATACCCATGACCATATATAGGGTTGGCAGATGATATTTCTACATACATATTTACATGTGCTGTAAGAATGTCCATATATATAGTATAGCTAACAGGTGGTTAGGTTATGATAATTTCTTACCCACAGCCAACTCCCCCTGAAGGAGCGAGTTGTAGGTCCTATAGGCTTGGGACCATGGTCACAGGGGACATTGAGCTCAACTGGCATAAAATACTACACAAAAACATTGTTTTACATCCTACTTTGGTGAGTAACAACTAGAGTCTTAAAAACTTACCAGTGGTCATCTAAGCTGCAACAATTGGTCTCTCCTCATCCAAAGCAAAGAAGAATGAAGAAAATCAAAGATGCATGGAAACAATTAGTCCAAGGGACTAGTGGACCATGCAAACCTCAGCCTATGTGACCCTGAGACCAGAAGAACTAGAAGGTGCCTGGCTACCACTTTCAACCACTTGAAGAGGGATCAGAATAGAAGATCTTGGATAGACTGGGAAAAAAATGTGGAACTAAACTCAAAATCATAAAAAAAAAAAAAAAAAAAATGACCAGGCTTACTAGTCTTATAAAGACTGGTAAAACCCCTGAAACTATGGTCTCCTAGTCACCTTTTAGGCCTGGAAATGAACTCACTCCTGTGGCTTATAGCCATGCAACAGACAGGTGTACAAAGGAACAAAGTGAACATTTATACTAGGTAGGTACACTCCTTAAATCAACCATGGAGGATCAAAAGGACAGTGTTTGCACAGAGAGATAGCTTAAAGGGCAAGAATGCATAGGAAAGAAGGATACAGGGAAAAGGTAACCACAGGAAGGAAGTGGAAAGAGAGTTGTTACATTATGTGGATTACAATCAATGTTGTGAAACAAAATGTGTATGAACTTTTGTATGGAAAATGAATTTGTTCTGTAAACTTTCACCCAAATCACAATTTAAAAAAATGTAGGTATATTAGGAGCTCTGGTAGTGTAGTGCCTAAGGCACTTGACTGCTAACCAGAAGGCTGGCGGTTCAAACCCACTAGCCACTCTTCAGAGCAAAGGTTGGGCAATCTACTTCCATAGTGATACCACCTCAGAAGCCCAAGGAGGGGCCGCTATGAATCAGGTCTGACTTGATGGCAAATAACAACAACAACAAATATATATATATATATATATATATATATATATATATATATATTTGCTTATATGGCCTTTTCAATAATCATGGGTTGTCATGACAATAATCTTTTTAGGGGTAGGGGGAATACCTTCTTCACTGTTATAATCTGGAAAGCAAAGTGCTTGATTTGTTATGGACTCCCTCAAAAGGGAGCCATTTTATCAAATAGTTTAACATCTGTTAAGGGCTTATGTCTTTTTAATACTTTAACATCTGTTGAGGGCTTTCTATCTATCTGGCATTATAATAAGCATTCTATAATTTTTATTTAGTATAACAATTATTTTAGGGCACCAGAACACATCTTTCCTCATTGATCTCACAATCTGGGGCAAATTATACCTTACCTGAGATGGAGAGGGTAGATATAGATCACTGCAGGCCATAGTTACTAATTCCCCAAACAAACTCATTGCTTCCAGTCAATTCAGACTCATAGCAACCACACGGGGAAGAGAAGAACCACCCTATAAGGTTTCCAAAGCTGTAAGAAAGTAGACTGCCTGGTCTTTCTCCGAAAGTGGTTGGTAGGTTCCAACCATAGGCGTTTCAGTAAGCAACCAAGGGCTTAACCACTGCACCACCAGGGCTCCTTCAGGTACCAATTGTTGTTGTTATGTGCTGTCAAGTTGGACCAACTCATAGTGACCCCTCCTTGGGTTTCTGAGGCAGTATCACTACAGAAGTAGATTGCCCAACCTTCCTTCCAAGGAGTGGCTGGTGGGTTTGAACCACCAGCCTTCTGGTTAGCAGTCAAGTGCCTTAGGCACTATGCTACCAGAGCTCTTTCAGGTACCAATTAGAAGTATTATTTTCTTGTGTAGCAACTGAATGAGTAGCAAGGACACTACAGCTGACATTCAAGGTTTTTATCTATAAATTTTAAGAGAAAGTTCACCTTTGTAATTCAAAACATTTTGAAGAAAATCATAATAACTACCTCTCCTTTGAAGCATAACACTTTACCAAGTTTTTAGTGGACCTCTGTAGATAAATGAGAGGTAACTAAATAAGAGAAGCAGTGCACAGAGAGATTGATTAATTTGCTTCATATCATAACTTTTCAAGATTTTATTATCATTCCACACCCCCAAAAAAACCATAAAAAAGAATTTTTAAATATCCAATATGGAGGTGTAGTCACTAGATGCAAAATAATGACAGAACTGTACTGATGAAACTCAAGACATTCTGGGGGAAAACTGGTAAGATGTTGAGGAAAATCAACACAGATTATAGAAGAAAAAATAAAGCTTTGTGTCCAAACATATACTCCCTTCAGCTCCAGTCTCTGCTGCTCTTGCCTGGGACATTCAATATTTTATGAAATGATTTTCATTTTTGTCAAATAATAATAAATACACAAAAACGTAGTCAGTGCATACATTAAAAAAAAAAATCCTACATTCCTTTCTTAAATTTATCTTCTATTGTTGCAGAATAAGGAGTTAAGGACATTCGTTTTTACTTCAGTCCGCAGCCCAGTGTTTAGAACAGAAGCAGAGCCAGTTGCATTTGCTGAAGACCAAAAAGCGGCGAGAGTCAGATGAGTCAAGCAATTACCAGCCGCTTGGCCTTTTTGCAGAAATACACAAAAAGTGTAGAATCGCTTAATTTTATCCCCTCCTAGCCTCTTCACGTGGAAATTGGCTGCTCGGGCGAATGTTATTTTTCACCGCAGCCATGTGTAGAAAAACGATTAACACTCGCTTGACAAAACCCCTTCTCAGGCCATTTGGGAGTCCCACGCGTTCACACCCCAGGCTGACCCCTTTGCGCCATGACGCGCAGCCTTTTTGTTTTCGCGGCTAGTGGGAGATATGGGAGGAGAAGCAACCCATCTCTAAATATGCATCAGGTCGTGAGAGCTATATAAAGGCTCAGGTCGCGGGCCTGGTGGAAAGGCTAGGATTGCCCACAAGCTGACTGCAGCCTACCGCAGTGTCCCGTCCCGTCCCCCCAACCCCCACGCCATGGACATTGCCCAGAGCTCCGGCAGAGGAGCTGGCGAGTGCGCGCGCTGCGGCCGCCAGCTGCCCGAGGATCCTAGTGGCCAGACGCGGCGCGGGGACGCGGACTCAGGGTACCGCTGCTTGGCGTGGCCCTGCGCCTTCCCTCCTGCGGTCCCCTCCTGTGCGCGCCTCCCCCAGTTCCTCCTCCCCGGCTCCCCTTCTCCCTGCCCGGCGACAGCTCGGCTTGTGTTGCTTCTCCTGGGCGTGGGCTCACGTCTCCTGTGCGTCTTGTGCTCCCTACCCCGCAGATCCTCAGGCTTCTGGAGACCGTGGGTTGACCCCCGAGGTGAGAAAGACCAAGAGGCACCGCAGCACGCCACCGAGGCGGTGAGTGAGCCGCACTTAGCGGGCCGCAAGTTCAAGAGGAGCAGAGGATCGCCCAGGGTAAAGACGTGGAGCCTCAGTGGGGCACACTCACTCGGCCTACCCCTCGCTAATATCCCGCCTGCCCAAGGCCCTGCAGGTGCTGATGCGGCGGGTGTGTCCTCCGGAGCAACTCGGATACACAGAATTTGCTGGGAGTGTGGCCGCTGAGAGCCCCGGGGTCACATTCCCTGCGTGCGCGAGGAACGCAGGGTCCTTTAGGTTTCCGATTTCTAGAAGGAGGTAAGTAGTAATTAAGATTCAACTCATTTCGCCCTCAGGTGCTGGCTATCCCTGGAATGACCGAAGACTCAGGAAAGCTTTCCCAGTACACACACCCAGTCAGGTGAGTGACAGGCGTCACCCCTACAGACGCAGCAATGAGTCGGAGGCATAGCACAGCCTACCTCAGCAATGGGTCCTGTTGTTTTTCTCTTAGAATAATGTGTCTTAAAGGTTAAGGTTAGTTTGGTTTCCCAACCCCCCAGGTCCATTTACTCATCAAATTGAAAAAAGTGTAGGAGTTTCCACCCCCACCTAAAAGAACTGCTAATCAGAGCACTCAGCAAACCATTGAAAAATGTGTCATGAAGAGGGAAAGTGGCTGATATAGTAAATGTGGAACGATGCATATTGGGTCTAAACAATAGGCTTTTTTTTTTTTTTTTTTAAATATATATATCAAAGGGGCCAAATGAGATAGATTTCACACCAGGTAGAGTGTGTATGTTCTTACTCTGTTGCAAAGTATAAAGAAGAATCAGGTTCACAGTTGGAATTTAAGTAAACCAAGCTTGATATGGAAGACAACAAGTGGAGATGTAATGAAAATCCTCAAGATCATAAAAGGGTCAAAAGTTACCAAAATATAATAAGAGGCTACTTTACTGTTCCTAGCCACAGGAAATTAGCCTTCTGTAAGTTTCTTTGTAGGAGCTCTGGTAGCATAGTGGCTAAGGCACTTGACTGCTAACCAGAAGGCTGGCGGTTCAAACCCACCAGCCACTCCTCAGAAGGAAGGTTGGGCAATCCTACTTCTGTAGTGATACTGCCTCGGAAACCCAAGGAGGGGTCCCTATGAGTCAGGGCTGACTTAACCGCACATAACAACAACAACAAGTTTCTTTGTAGCTTTTATTCAAGTGTTAGGACTAACAATACTGCCAGTTTCCCTACTTCAGAGATCTGTTAAATGAAGAGCTATAAAGTATGTGTGCAGTTTTAAATAACACGTAGTAGCCAATGCATAGTTATGAATTTCCTAGTATGTGCAGGCACTAGTAGAGGACACAGGAAGAAAAATAATTACAGAACCATGGGAAGTGCTACAATAGGGTTTAGTCTGTTTTACAAATAAGCAGTGTATGAAGTGCCTAATGTGACCAGAAGGAGTGAATGGTGAGGATCAGGAAAGGTGTATCATAGATTGTGGTTGCCTGATTGAGTCTTGAAGTTAGCCAGATGGAGAGTTGGTAGTGGGGGTGTGGAGGAGGCAAGTTTAAAAGAAATAGTATAGGAAACAAGATGAAGGGTCATCAAACAACATAGCTTCTTCTAGAAGCTCCAAGGAGCTAAGATTTGGGTTTGTGAAGCTACGGTCATTCCAGCAGGGTAGTCAGAGGCCAGATCTTGATGTCCTTGTACAATCTGGTATAGAGGTTTGTCCTCTATACCATATATATGTATAAATACTATACATATACTATACTATACATCCTGGATGTAATGTTGGGAATCCATGGTCTTTATTCCACAGGTGGCTTTGGGGGTTATTCAAAGGATTTTAATAGAAGAGTAGAGTGATTGGATTTATATTGCAGAGAAATGATTCTGGAAGTGATTTGTTAGATGTCAAAACTAAGACTAAATGGGAAGCTAGTTATTCCAATTGCTTAGACAAGAAATTAGGAAGGGCCATTCTAAGGCATTGGAAAAAGGGATAAGACTGAGTGAATCTGAGAACTATTTAGATCACAAAAAAATGAGGCTTTATAATGTGTTGGATATGGTCAGTGAAGAAGAGAGAGATGATCAGAATGGGCCCCCAAGTTTGTGGCTGGTGACCAAGTGAATGCTGTACTAAATGGAAACAGGGGGTTGGAACAGACTGAGAAACAAGATTATGAGTCTGATATTCCTTTTATTTAGTGTACCTATGAGGCAATCAAAGGAGTTCTGGTGGCACAGTGCCTAAGACATTTGACTGCTACCCAGAAGGTTGGCAGTTCAAACCCACCAGCCACTCCGCAGAAGTAAGATGGGGCAATCTATTTCTGTAAAGATTCACCGCTTCAGAAGCCAAGTGGGAGTTGCTATGAGTCGGAATCGACTTGATGGCAGTGGGTTTTGGTTATGAGGCATCCAAACACAGATGTCAATAAAGAGCTGCATACATAACCAGAGACTCAGGCTCAAGATCTTAACTAGAAATTCTCTTGTGAGCTTTTGATAAATGAACTGTTTGGGAAATCATGGCAATGGGTCAGGTCATCCTGGGTAGGGTAGGGAGGAGAGATGATCACTCTCAATAAAGCCCTGGAGGAAGGCCAGCAACTGGTATACATAGAAAGTCTACAAGGAGACTGAGAAGAATCTGACCAAACGAGGCAGAATTCAGGGAAGTATACAGCACCCAGAAGGAAAAAATGATCCACATGACAAATTCTGGGGAGGAGAATGTGCTAAAGGTTAAATAGTATTCTTTGACAGTTCAAGATTTTGACAGTTCTAGTTACACAGTGGAAAATACAGTGGTTTTATATAAGCACTTCCTTCTCTGAACTACTGAAGCAATTCATACATACTATTCTTAAACTTATTTTTATTACTTTCTGTCTTGACTAGTATTGTCTTTGTAAGAATTCTTTTTACTCAGTTGTCAACTTGAGGGTGTTGTGTGCCATCAAGTTGATACTGACTCACAGTGACCCCATTAGACTAAGCAGACTGCCCCATATGTTTTCCTAGGCTGTAATCTTCATGGAAGCAGATTGCCAGGTCTTTTCTCCCAAAGGACAGCTGATGGATTCCAACTGCTGACCTTTCAGTTAGCAGCTGAGCACTTAACCATTGTGCAAATAGGGCTCCTTCATCTTGAGGGTAGATATAAATGGTTTATTCATTTTTGAATTATGAATTATGTCTGGTACAAGGGATAAGTAAAATATTGAATGACCAAATAATTTGATGTTTATTTTTTTTTACTATTTTGCTGGAAACATTTATAAGCTACATTGCTCATTTTTCTGGCTTTTAAAATGGAGTATACTGAACATAATGTAACTGTTCCTCTGTTTATGATTCAGGGCCATGATAATAAATATCATTTCTCTTGGGCTGTAATAGAGTGAGGCTCTCAGAAGATATATGGGGCTATTTATTCTGCACTAAAATGACTACACTGTGGTTGGTGATTCAGCTTTATCCATCCTCCTTTCTTTTCCTTGGATGAAAAGTAACAGAAGGCCAGTTGGCAAGATTAGTATTTGTGAGATTTTTGAAATTCTGGAGTAACATGTTTATATGAAAATTATTTGTATAAAACCAAAATTATCTCAAACTTTTCCAATGTGGGATTCCCAAATTTACTTGGATGTAGAGTAGGAGGAGAGATGGATCAAAATTTGAGTGAAAAGTAGGCTTCATATACCTCAGCTTGTGAGTAAATGTACAAACTTAAAAAACACTGTTTTTTGTACATTTTTTAAGCTTATGTGGCTACGTCTGTAACTAAGGGTTAAACCCGTGAATTTTATGCAAGGTTCTAGGTGACTTATGTCTTTGTGTAAATGCATAATATTTTGTTGTCTATAAAGTTGGCTATTGTCAGAATTTTTATAGAGAGGTAGGTTTCATGTTATTTTTCCCAAAGAAATTTGGAAATTGGAAGACAAACCTTTCTTCTGTATCTAGTAAGAATATGTATATATCCATAATGCCTAAAATAAGCTAAATATTAATCTTATTCTTACACAGGGTTTATTATGAATTTTTTTGATCCAATTTATAGGTTGGATGAAGATGAAAACAAAAAATCAACTAATTATTGAGACTTTGGCAAATGGAGTCCATGAAAGCTGTGATAATAGATTTATAAATCTCTACATTGAGGCTATATCTAAATGCATAAATCAATTGTGGAATACATAAAGCTCTTGAAATTTAATCATTTCATGACTATAAGAATTCTGAATGTAAAAAAAAAATATGTTGTCTGCTTATTTCAGACTATTTTGGCCAAAATCAAAGTGTTATGATTATTTATATCAAGAAGCAGAAGCCCTTCTGAAAAACTTTCCAATTCAAGCTACAATTTCATTTTATGAAGATACTGATAGTGAAGAGGAAATTGGGGAGCTGACCTGTGATTCAGAAAATTAATCTGATTAGTTATTTTGGATGACATTCAAAGCTTGTAGAATTTAAATTTAGTGTACAAATGTATCATAATTCTTTACAAATAATTTATTTGTAAATAAATTATTAATAAAATGAAATATTTTATAATTACCATGGTAGTTTGACCTTGTTTATATTCGTATCCTAGAATTCAATGCTGGAATTTAAAATAGGTGCCATTTACAAAATTGTCTTGATTCTATTATAAACATTTGTGGTTTACAAAAGATAATTTTTTGTCTCTTCATCAAATTACAAACGTATCTTTAGTTATAATTTTGCATGGAATTACAGTATTTAATTTTCAAGATTAAATCCTATAACGTCTGATATTTCCTACTAATCACCATTTGATGTTGTAGTTACAGATGAATATTATCTTATTAGGTAAGAAAGAAAATCACCTCATGCTATCAGTCATATGTTATTATGTGTTATTTGTTAGCAGATGGTGAAAACATTTTAAATCATTGTCTATAATTGAGAATGGGAGTCAATTTTATTAATCAAATAAGTTTCTTATAAATGATGAGTCAAGTAATTGTCACTTTAAATATTCCTCTGCTGTCCTTAAATCCAGTAGTAAAATGGCATGGTATGTAACACATTTGGCTTTAGACTGTGAGACTCCAGAATTAAAACAAAATATTAAATGAGAATGATTTTCATGGAGTCTGAAAAAGGAGTGCAAAGACAATAATTTGATAGTATTTTTCCATTTCTTTCGAAAGGAGAACTAAAAATTTGGCAGATATAAATGATTGTTAAAGAGAGGGCGCTCTGGTGGTGCTGTGATTAAAAGTATTTGGCTGTTAACCAAAAGTTGATAGTTTGTACCCACCAGCCACTTCACAGAAGATGAGGCAGTCAGCTTCTGTAAAGATTTACTGCCTTGGAAACCCTATGGGACAATACTGCTCTGTCTTGAGTCACTATGAGTTGGAATTGACTTGATGGCGGTGTATTTAAAGAGAAGTGCTCCATTATGAAAAAGAGTTTACCAAGCATTTCCTTGGCCTGAATGAAGCATTTCCAACATCAGCCACCTTTCTTTTTTCTGGTTCCCTGCTCCTAATATTTTCATAGAAAAGTATTTTTATGGGGTATAAAATAAGAAATTATCGCTGTTTAACTTTTCCTGCGGGAGGCCTTCAAGGAGATGGATTGACACGGTGGCTGCGATGAGGGGCTCAAGTATAGCAGGGATTGTGGGGCTGGCGCGGGATCGGGCAGTGTTTCGTTCTGCTGCGCATGGGGTCACTATGAGTCGGAAACGACTTGACGGCACTTAACAACAACAACAACTTTTCCTACATGGACTTGTAGAAGAATATGTCATCATTTATGAGAGAGAAAACAGGAGCAATTTCTAAGGGAAAGGTAACATAGTAAACTGGTCATGAAGTTCATTTAGAGGCAATAAAATGTTTTTACAACATGCATTTCAACTGCCAGTAAAAAAGTACCTGTAATATTCCAGAATAGTAAGGTGTAGAGGTGAATGTCAGAGATGGTTACCTAGGTAAGAAGTGCCTCTTATACTTGAATAGCTACATATACCCATACATTTTTCATTCTATTTGAAAAGATACTACAAATACAACTTTGATTTACAGGCACTCAACAATTGAAATAAAAATAGCAAGTTAAAACCATGCCAGTTTGTCCAGAATTGGAAAAGTTAGTAATGGAAGAATCCAAAACCCACTGCCATGGAGTTGATTCCAAGTCATAGCAACCCTACAGGACGGAGTAGAACTGCCCCATAGGGTTTCCAAGACTGTAAATCTTCATGGAAACAGGCTGCCTCATCTTTCTCCTGCAAAGCAGCTGGTAGGTTCAAACTGCTGACCTTTCAGGTAGCAGCCAAATCTTTAACCACTGAGCCACCAGAGCTCCTTAATGGGAGGATGGGAGGGTTACTTAGAGCTATATTTCTTCTGAAAACTTCCTTCTCTCACTAGTTCTACTCTCAGCATTTGTATGTTCCCCAAGGGACACACAAAATATTCACCAAGTCACCAATCTGGGCTTAGGCATTAGTGAGTGGTGTTTACCTGCACAGCATTTGTACTTCTCTCATTACTGTGTTGGAATAGTATGAAGAACCACTGTCTATTATAATGTAGTTTACATATAACATCTCATTTAATCCTTACTAAAACCTAATCCCTAGGAGCTCTGGTAGCATAGTGTCTAAGGCACTTGACTGCTGGCAATTCTACTTCCGTAGTGATACTGCCTCGGAAACCCAAGGAGGGGTTCGTAGTGATACTGCCTCGGAAACCCAAGGAGGGGTCGCTATGAGTCGTGGCCGACTCGACGGCACATAACAACAACAACAAAACCTAATCCCATTATTCAGACAGGGGAAATGAGGCTTTGAGATACTAAAGTAACGTGCGTATGGCTGCCCAGTTACTGTATGCATGATCTGTGTCCAAACCAAATCGTTTCGACTCAGATTTTCTTCTGAACCCCACAGTTGGGTGTGAGCTGCATCAGTACACAATTCCTTGTATCTTCCAGGGAAGATAGGAAGTGAGATGAGAAGAACTTGTGAGTGGGTGAATAGAACAGAGAGCAACTTTACAAAAGTCTCCTACTCCTTTGTCAATCACTAAACCATAAAAAAGAAACTCGAATCCGACTCATAGAGACCCCTCCTTGCGTTTCCCTGGCGGTATAACTATGCAAGTAGATAGATTGCTCAACCTTCCTTCCGAGGAGTGGTTGTTAGGTTTGAACCGCCAGCCCTCTGGTTAGCAGTCAAATGCCTTAGGCGCTATGCCACAGAGCTCCCTGTCAATCATTAAGGAGGGTTCTTAAAGGTGAGGTGTTCTCCTTACCTCACAAGAGTGGCTGTTTGCATTTCATACCTTACCTCTTAAAGGTATGAGGTTCTGTCCCTGTACAGCTTCGTGCTTCAGAGGAGAGAACTTCAGAGAAATCCAAATACTTTAATAGTGTTATTCCATGTTTCAAGTCATGTGTTAGTACTGCTTTGCGATGGACAGAAACATTAACAGGTCTCAAGAGGAATTTATACTTAGACTTGGTCAGCACCACCGCCAAGGAACAGCTTCTTAACGAAATATTTCCGCGAAATACTTTTCAGCTCTGTTCAGCGTAGATCAGGATGCAAGACCAACTGAGCATGCGTCTTTCTACCCAGCCGGAGCTACTTCCCTTCGTTAATGCCGCCCTTCTCGTTGGTTCCGCCCCACAGCCTCGACGTGTTGCGTCATGGCGCTCCTCACCCCAGGCGACCCCGGAAGTGGGTCGGGGGCTTGGCCTCTCCCGGCCGCGGAGCCGGAGGCTCTACCCTTAGAGGGGTCCAGCCGAGCTAAACTGTTCCGCGGCAGACCCAGGGCAGGGCCTGGACTAGGGGTTCAAGATGCTGAACGTCCCTTCCCAGTCTTTCCCGGCTCCCAGCTCGCAGCAGCGCGTTGCCTCCGGGGGGCGTAGTAAGGTAAGCTGGTGACAACTGCCAGTCTTAGCCCACGCTCGCCGCCTTCTGGCGTTTCGCGCTAATGCTCAACCTATTTTCTCATCTTGCGCTCCTCTTCCTTCTCGGTCCTCCTCTCCAGCTTTCACTCCCTTCTGCCCTTGCTGACGACCTCTTTCTGATCCTCCTCCATCTGCAGTCCTCGAAGACTCTCCCGTTCTCTTAGCTGCTAGCCCCTTCTTACCCATCCCTTTATCCTGCTCTGTTACTTCTCCGCCAAGTCTTTCGCTGCTAATTAAATTCAGACGTATGTAACTGGGCCAGGCACTGTGCTTGTCGTATTGTAGATACTTGTATTAGTTTCCTTCCCTTAACTTCTCCTCCTCTCTCCAATTTTTGTTTTTCTCTTTCTGAAGGAGTTGTGAGTGATGTGTGTCTGCTAGCAGAAGGGAAAGTCTAGGCAGTGTCAACGCTGACTGTTCCCAAGAGTGGGGGCTCCTGGAGCTAGGGAAGAATTGGAGAAGCGAGGACAGATGCCTACAAACCTCCTGTCAGGTTTATGGACAGTACTCCAAGCTTTGCTTTCTTCTTTGGGTACCTCATTGTTTCAGTACTGCCTTTTTCACTGATACCGCTCTCTGACTTTGAAACTCCTAGAGTACTCTTGAGGTTTGTTGGGTGATGTTACTGTTAGCAACAGGTACAATATAGATGCATTTTATATTTGCAAAATTTAGTAATAAAATCAGGAGCTCTGGTAGCATAGTGTCTAAGGCACTTGACTGCTAACCAGAAGGCTGGTGGTTCAAACCCACCAGCCATTCCTCGGAAGGAAGATGGGGCAATCTACTTCCGTAGTGATACTGCCTCGGAAACCCAAGGAGGGGTTGCTGTGAGTCGTTCGACTTGAGGGCACATAATAACAACAACAACAACAACAGTAATAAAATTGCCTCTTGTATTCATTGCAGTGTGAATGTTGTGTCTGCTCCTGTTATCTGTTAGTTCCTCATTCTGTAACCACATCTTCATTTTTTGTTTTTTGAAACTTCCACCTACTTATGCCACTCCTTTTTCTTGTTCATTTCTGGATTCCTGGATCTCAGCATCATTTGTGATTCTCTCTCTCTCTTTTCCTTTTTCTCCAGACCTGGAGTTCAGATCCTAGATCAGAATATGATTCAGAAATCTGTAGGTTTCATTAACTTTTCAGAGGTCTATAGTCCTAATTATAGTACTAGCTGGATTTTTGTTTTGTTTTGTTTTGTTACTTACTGGTGGCCATGTATGTTCTAAGTGTTCTGAGTGCTTTACGTGTATTAACTTGTAAAGTTAACAATGATCGTATGAAACGGATGCTTTTGTTGTTTCCTTTTCATAGATAAGGTAACTGGCTTAGATCTTAGACCCTGTAGGCATGCGGTGATGTGACTCTGATTGTGACATTTCATTTACTGCTCTAATGATCCATCCAATCATGTGTCCTCTTTTACCTAGATGTTTGATTATAGTCTTGAATAGTATAGTCTTTCCAGGGAAAGAAACTCTGAATTAGAGTAAAAGAGGAGTTCCAGCCCTTCCTCATTAAAACTAGCAACCATGCTCTCTACATCCATTTAAAGGTGAAAACTTCGGGCAAAGTTAAATGATTCATATGGCAAAAGTGAGCTTTTGGGTCTAAAAAGAGAAGAAAATAAGAATATTATGCAATCAAAGGAAACTTGGCTTTCTTGTGAAACAAGATAGTCTTAAACATGTCAGAAGCTGACTCAGGATTAGATGAAATGGGTGGAAGCTGTATATCATAATTGTTAAAAGCATACACTTTGAAGTCTGAAACACTTAGATCCCTTTTCCAACGCTGCCACTAAACCTCTTTGAGATTTCCTCAGATGTAAAAAGGAAATAAGTCTCCATCTTATAGGGTTGTTGATATGATTAAATGAGATCATGCTTCTCTTAGCATGGTCTTGATGCATGGTTAAAACAAACAAACAAAATAAACAAAATTCACTGCCATCAAGTCAGTTCTAACTCATAGTGATCCCCTTTGGGTTTCTGAGGCAGTATCTCTTAACAGAAGTAGACTGCCCAGTCTTTGATATATGGTAAGTACTCAATAAATGTTCTTGTCCTTAAGCTTTCATTCATGTCTCAGGAATTATTGGGTAAAGCCCTTAGCACATTGCCTGATGCAGATTGTACACTCAACGTGTGATTACTGTTATTATATCTACTCCTATTACTACTAGTAAATAATTATTCTTTGAGAACCTACCATATGCTGGAATTATGATCTCTGATTTCAAAGAGTTCATTCTCATAAGCTGGTCAGACTAGTAAACAGGCAGTTACAATGCCATAAATGATATATCAAGGTGTTATAACCGCTTGGGAATTCCATGAGGTTGGGAATTGGGGTCAGGAAAGGCTTTTGGAGGAAGTGCCAGTGGGGGGTGGGGATGAGAAGCAGTACTTGTGAACAAGTGCTCAAAAGCAATCAACGAGTTAGCCCCCATTTGGCTGAAGATGGAGCAACAGTTAATTATGATTATGAAGATTATGAAGAGCCTGGTAAACCACTGTAAGGAATTTACACATAAGGTAATGTGAGGTCCCTGGGTGGCATAGATGGTTTGTGCTCATCTACTAATCCAGAGGTTGCCTCAGAAGAAAGACCTGGTGATCTGCTTCCATGAAGTTTATAGCCAAGAAAACTCTATGGAGCAGTTCTACCCAGTAACACATGGGATCACTGCAAGTCAAGTTTGACTCAGTAACAATGGGTTTGGTTTATTATTATTTTTCAAGGTAATATAGGGAGCGGCAGTCAGCCGCAGGGATCCAGGTGAGGAGCGAGAACCTAGGCACACACAAAGCAGCAGGACGGGAGAGCAGGAGAGAGGATTAAAAGCCAGGAATCCGGACAGAGGAGCAGTCAGCCGTAGGGATCCTGGTGAGGAGAGGGAACTCAGGCACGCCCAAAGCAGCAGGGCAGGAGAGTGGGAGAAAGGGAATTAAAAGTCCTAGGAACCTGGACAGAGGAGCATTCAGCCACAGGGACCCAGATAAGGGTGGTATGAGAGGTTTCCAACAGGGAGACAAACTTGTCTGTTGGTTTGTCCTACTGTGGTGATGTACTGAAGTGAGTTTTGAGGCTGAGCCACTGGTGTTTCAAACCCAGCTGGATGCACATGGTACACAGGTATCAGCCCAGCTTACAGACTGAGACAGACTAGGAA